AAGCATTTCACTACATATCGTACTGTGTATGACTGTGTACGTGACAAATAAAATTTGAATTTGAATTTGTTCCTTGGATAGTCTGTCATGTCTCTCGTGCATGTTAAGTTCTGTCTCCGTGTTTATTAATTTGTTCCCCTGTCGTGTCTCACGCGCCGTCTTGCTCCTCCTGTGTTCCTTGTCTTCAGTCAGGCCACATCTTAGTATGTGTCTCTTGCTTCCTGTTTTAGTTTGATAGTCCATTGTCCTGTGTTCAGTGTATTCAGTTTTGATTCCTCTCTGTCTGATTAGTCCCAGCTGTCTTCTCACCCGTTTCCCATCCCGTGGTTATCCTGTGTGTGTGTATTTAAGTCTTCAGTTTTGCCCTGTTTATTCTGGTGTTCTCCACCTTGGCTGTGTTTTTCTCGTGTGTTTTCCATGTTCCCTAGTTATGTCTAGTTGTGAGTTTCCAGTGAGTTGCCTGTTTCTTAATACTAGTTTATCTTTTGTTTCTTTTTGTGTTTCTTTGTACTTTGATTTTTAGTTTGCTTTCTCAGCTAAATAAAAAAAAAGTCCGTTTTGGAGTCCTGTGTTTCAGTCCTACCGTTGCCTGCCAATGAGCCCAACATGACACTTTCATATCTCAATCGCCTTGAAGGATAACTAAATACTTTTGACTATTATAAGTATCAATAACAATACTATACTCACCAAATGTAACGTACGGTTACATTGTAACCATGGTTCTCTGAGTGAGAGACTATCTCTCCACTCCATTACATATTCCATATGTATGGGGTATGATACATAGAAGTATGGATACTTCTTGAAGACACTCCGGCTAGCCGGGCCACGCCCCACAGATTACATGTAAAGCAAGCTGTGCAGGCGTGAAACCAGTGATAGTTTGATAAGATAAGATAACCTTTATTAGTCCCACACGTGGGAAATTTGTCAGAATGCTTCTCCGAGCGGCCTACAAAAATAGAAGAATCTGAAGAAAGCGTGTTGCTAGGACTGATCGGAGGCAAATTTAATTTCAAAAGACTACCCAACGGAAGCCTTCATAAAAGTGTAATTTTATGCAAACTGTGCAAAAAGGAGTTTGCATACCACCAAAGCACCTCAACCGTACCATCTAAATGCAAAACATGTTGCAGCGAGCACGGAAACTGTGGGAGCTGTTAGCACTAGCAGTCCCAGTTCGAGTACCAACAAAAGGTGTCGGCAGCCCAAACTTGAAAAAATGACTTACAAATTCTCTTACAAAATGGATTGCTCTGGACTGTAGACCACTATCAGTGTAGTAGATAGGGGGTTAGAAAATGTGCTACACTTAGCATCAGGTGATCCAACTTTCCAACTGCCATGGCAACAGACTATTCAAGTAAAATTCAACAGCTTTATGACACTGAAAAACAAGAAAAATTAGATGCATTACAAAAAACAGACTTTGTGGCTCTTAGTGGGGATCACTGGACTCCCCCTCAATCTGTACACTCCTTGTCATGCACTAAGATCATCAGGTCAATTACTCCTGGCCCAACCTAAGTTTAGACTGAAGACCAGAGGCGATCGTGCCTTTGCTTCAGCTGCACCCAACCTTTGGAATAGCCTTCCTGCTTCTATTCGTGCCACAGACTCTATCCAATCCTTTAAATCAAGATTGAAAGCATACTTATTTAACCTGGCTTTTCTGACCAGTTAATACCCTTTTTAAACTTTTTATTAAATGTATTATTTTATTATTAATTTTACTGCTGTTTTTATCTTCTTAGTAGATATTTTGTATTCACGATCTGACCTTCCTCCTGTATTGAGGTTTGATACCTATTCTACTTAACTCTTCCGGTCTATTAGTGCCTCCATTCTGTCTGTGCTAGTGCCTGATCTGTACTCTGTTATTGACTTATGTTGTTTCTTCGTATTACTGTGAAACACTTTGGTGTGCCTTCGGGTTTTAAAATGTGCTATATAAATAAAACTATATTGGATTGGATTGTATTCTGTTAGTAATTCTAATTATCTCGGAGTCACTGCACATATTCTTGATGTCACTGATGGGACATGGAATCTACAGTCTTTTGCCCTGACTGTGCAGAAGACAAACATCAGAAACTATTCCAAAAACTGCGCTGAGTAGTTTCTCTCTTTGGCAGAAGAATGGGGAATTCAACAAAAGGTAACCACAATTGGGACAGACAGTGCACGAACCATGGTGGCTGCAGCACCTCCCATTCCATCACATGCTTTGTGTTGCTCACATATTGCAAACAACCCTCACTGTTAGCCCTGCTGATAGTGGTTTTAGTGATGCATTAGCAAAATGTTGCAAGATAGTGGGTCACTTTAAACACAGCCCTGCTGATACAGAGGAATTACACCAGGAGGAAACAAGACTTGGGCAACAGAAAGAACCACTCATACAACATGTTTCCACAGGGTGGAATTAAATGCTGGATATGTTTTTTCATCTACTAAAGAATCAAGAGGCTGTTTTTGCTGCTTTAGACAAACAAAAGCACAAGCTAGTCATTTTAACTCCATCAGAGCTGGTAAAACTCCAAAAGCTGGTGACTATCCTTGAGCCATGCAGGTAAATAAAACTATTTTTTAACTTATTGTTACTGTTTCTTCAAAAAGCTCTATAGTTGACAGTTATTGTGTAGATTAAAAAATACTTTCTTGAACTGTCTACTACAGGTTTGTGACTCAGCTTCTTGGAGGTGAGACATATGTCTCATATTCAATTGTTTTAACTTCTTTCTGCCACCTGCATCACACCATGGAGGTCTCTGATGATGACTCAAACTATATGGTGACTGCCTTCACAAAGGACCTATCCCAACGTGTCGCTACACTCAACCACCAGTGGCTCAAGACAGCTACTGTGCTTGACCCACGCTTTAAGAATTTAAAGTGTCTTGCGAGGGGAGAGCGAGAAGAGGTTTGGACCAGCCTTGAGGCCCTGTTGCAGGAACAGTGTAAAGATGCCACCACAAAGGCGCCAGTAAAGACAAAGAGCCTTCTCTTGTCTTCATTGCCTTCAGATTCTGATTCAGATGAGGAAGCCCTGTGTAACAGGGGCCCTGAGTTTGTACAGAGCAGAACCCACCATCAGCGAGCAAACTGCAGTTGTGGTCCAGCCGAGCAGGCACCCACCCACAACTGTCTGTCCTGGCCCGCAAGTATTAAATTAGTCCTGCCACTTCTGTCCCATGTGACAGACTGTTATCACTTGCAGGTCACATAGTAACAAAAAAAGAGAGCTGCCTTGAGCTCTGAAAATGTGAACAGGCTAGTTTGTCTAAGTAACTGGCTGAAAGAGATGGACAATAAATAAGCATGGAGGTATTGTGAGTCCAATGGGTTTGTTATTTTTTGCACTAAAATGTTCCATGATCACATTGTTTTAGCCTAATGTACAAAATACTTTTGGCTAAGGTTACTCAGAGTTTAAAGGTGAAGCTGGTCAAATTACCTTTTATCTTTCTGCCTTATTTTTCTAACAAGAAAAACTGCACTTTATGTAGACTTTTTATTATTTTTATTTAAAGACAATACCATTCTGAAAATGTACTTAAAGTACTTAAAATAGCACTTTATTTTTAAGTCTTCCCAGTTTTGGCCAGGGATATTATTTTTGTTTCTCTGTCTTGAATTGAAAAACTGTTTAAATGCTCCCCCCCCCCCCGAATGACGGCTACTGCTGATGGGCACCCAGAACCTGCTCCGGGAAAGAGGGGCTGGCTGCCATGTTCAAGCGGGAAAACCACATAAAGGTGGCAGTTGGGGACCATGTCACTGCCGCACAAATGGCAGAGAGGGAGGCACCCCTCCACCCTCACTGGTTGAGTGGGCCTGCACACCTGAGGGGAGAGGAGCTTCTACTGAGGCATAAGCCTGCTGGATTGCCTGTACCTCACAGTGGGACAACTGGGACTTGGACAGGGGCCTGCCCGAGATCCTGGGATGCAAAGAAATGAACAGTTGGTCCGTTGGCCGAATCGGCCAGGTACATATGATGTACAGCGCCAGAGTTCAAATCATTTTAGAGCCAGCAGATGCTGAGCTGCCTCTCGGTCCAAGCCTTCCATCGGAACTGACTGCAGCTTAACCGACTGGGAGAGGTGGAAGTCCATTTTCCAGTCATGGATTGGCCTTCCCAGAACACAGATCTCAACATTATTAAAGCAATGTAGGATTATCTCAACAGAGAATGGACAAAAGGAAGCCAAAATCCAAACAAACACTTTAAATATCCTTCAAGATGTCTGGAAAACTATTCCTCAAGATATCTTAAACAAAGTAGTGAAAGCTGCCTAAGAGAGTTGTACAATTGTTCAAACTCTGTCTTTTCCTTACATGCTTTACTTCCACGTCTCTTTCAATACACAGCTAATACACAGCTTTTGTAAACTAGGGGACAGGTCCTTGAGCTCGAGCCCTCTATCAGAGCCTATGACTCAAGCCTTGCACAAGGATTCGGGAATGTTGTATGATATTAACAGGACCCTAAGAGCCTCGTTTAGGAATCCAATGGAGGTGAAGGAAAACACAAGAGGCAAACTTCAAGCCAAATGCACAAGTCATAATCAAGTGAGGGGTTCACCAAGGAGGTGCTCTGTCCCCATTGCAACCCCCTCAGCCAGATCATTAACAAGACTGGCTATGTATACTGACTATGAAATACAGCAATCATTAGCCTACTTTAGTAATCTCAGAGGGAAAATTCGTTGTCATAGAAGCATATATACAAGACACAACAAAGAAATCGCATAAAATGAAGGTTCCCCTGGTGGACTTGTGTTTTGTTATTGTACTTCTGTACTAACCACAGTTTGTCAATGACAAACATCATGTTAGAGCATAAAGGTGTTTATAAGCACATAAGGCATCTGAGGTTGCAGGTTGATGATTGATTTTATAATTGTAACATCAGATCTGCAGCCATCTGTCTTGGGCACTTGGGTGAAGAGAGGTGCTGAGCTGACAACTGATTCTGGTGGTAATGCCAGAACCAGATGGTGGACACCACAGATGAAGAGAGGTTTCAGGCTAAAGGAGTCACCACGAGTAGGAAGGGAATTCCACACACACCGTCTACAGCTTTGGTGGAACACTGCTTACCTCAACTGAGGCTATATTCAGGCAGTGAAAAGTACACACAAAGTGAGGAGGATCTCCTCAATACCATAGTTGTGCCTTCTATTGTGGAAGCAGAGTAGTCCGCAGTGATGCAAATGCACCAATCTGTTGGGGTGAAGAGAGAGCTGAGCATAAAAGCAAAGTTGTCAATTAAAGAGTTAATTTACATTCCTACGCTCACCTATAGTCATGACCTTTGGGCAGTGAGCGAAAGAATGAAGTCACAGACACAAGTAGCCTTCGAAGAGTGGCTGGACTGTCCCTTAGAGAGAGGGTGAGGAGCTTGGTCATACGAGAGGGACTCGGAGTAGAGCCGCTGCTCCTCCATCCAGGAGCAAGATGAGGTATTTTGCGCATCTGACTAAGATAGACACCTCATAGGTGAGTTATTCTGAGCATGGGGGGCCCCTGGGGGAAACCAGAATTTGCACGAGAGAGATTATATCTCATAGCTGGCTTGGGAACTTCTTGGTGTCCCCGTAGATGAGCAGGAGAAGGTAGCTGGGGTGAGGGAAGTCTGGGCTTCTCTGCTTAGACTGCTTCCCCCCACCATCCAGATAAGCAGCAGAAAATGGATGGAGACACACACACACACACACACACACACACACACACACACACACACACACACACACACACACACACACACACAAACAGCTAAAACAAAACTCAACCCTAACCTTGGTGACCTGATGGTCGTTAGTAAATTAATATCCAATTTACACATCTATGTAATGACTTTCATCATTTGGGTTAAGGTGTAGCTGACTTAATTGTGCATTGACTTTGGTGATATGCATGGATATGATGGAAATCAAGGCCAAAGCTAGTTGAAGTCTATGTCTTTTTTATCCTGTTATTTATTATCACAACAATATGCATAATAAGAACACTTCAAGCTCGGATATTTTTAGGTCATACACATATACACAGCCACACACACAGCCAAGAGTTTCTTACAGGTCTTTCTTTTGAGTAAAGGACTCCACAGCAGTGTGAACACTGGATTGAAGGGCAGATTGGTGAAAGTTGAGTTCAGACATACAAATATCATCACTGAACCTGAGAGGAGCTACCTCAGTGAGGGCAAATTACCTTTCAGTGTCGCTGTCATCACTCGATTCTACTTCCTCTAGGGCAGCCTGAAGATCAACGATGCGCCGGATGGACGTCTCCAGGTCCGCCTGTAATGCCTGTCTGACAGTGCTGAGCTCTTCAACCTTCATTTCCTGTACAGAAAAAGAGGAAGATGACAGATGCAGGGATGAATAAGATGGTCATCTTCTAACATACCTGTTTGCTGTGCCCCAGCACACATCAGCAGTATTTATTAGCAAACTATTACATATGCAAGCTGACATCCAGAGAAAAAAAGTGATTTCTTAAATCGTTCCATCATTTTCTTACTGACTCTGTCTCTCATATCCTGTCACATATGTATGCACCTACACACAACCAAAAGCTTTCAGGCTTTTGCCTTTGTTGGTTTTGAGACGGGTGTGGGAGCCACAACTGTCATAGAAACACATAAGCATGTACGAGTGTGTGTATGTGTGCACCCCCATAACCTTGAAGAGACAATGAGGATTAATCACAGTCAGAGAGAGGAAGCCGAATGAGGGAGAGATGACGTTGGGTATGGTAATGGAGAAGTGTGTGTCTGTCTGTGTACATGCACATGTGTGTGTGCCTGTGTGCATGCTGTTGTGTGTATGATTAAATCCATTTATATGGGGCTGTGTCTAAGTCTCCATTGCTGGTTGGTAGGTTGTTTAAGGGCATTCTTGTGTCTGTCTGTGTGTGTGTGAATGTGTTGCTTTGTGCGAATAACTTAAGTCCTGGAGCTCCTTCTCATTTTCTTGGCTCAGCTCAGAGGTCACAAAGAAATGTGCAGTTAGTGAGAACAAGAACGTGACTGAATGTGTAACTGTAAGTAGCAGCTTTAAAGTCTGCTCGGCTGCTCAGATCTTCATCTAACTCAATTGTGCATTCACACTAGAGTAGAAATAGGAAAGCTCCTCCCTCCCTGTCCCCCCCATGTAAAGCTTTTATTAGTTCTTTAACATTTTTAGTTTTTTCAGTCATCTGTGACACCGACTCCGCCGTGACATACGTCATATTCTGAGTTGAGGGTCCATTTGCTTGTCATTGCTCCTCGGAGTCGCTGAGTGGCAAGAGTTCTCCTATGGGTGACTGAGGATGAAATGTGAAATTGTGAAATTTCCAGTGCCATTACTACAAACTAATGTCTTCCTAGTTCCTTTCTCTCTGTTTGAGGCATTGGATGAGTCCCTCTCATTTGCAATGAATGGGTTGCTTATTAAGTCCGCCTTGCACGCATTTAGAGATGGAGTCATCAGCTCCAATTTTAATACCGTGTTCACTGTCGCTACCAAGTTCTCCAATTTTGCCATCATTTTCTCCAATTTTGTTTTTCCAGCTGGACTTTGTGGAGCTGCTATGGAGTTTGTTTCTGCGAAGGCTTCAGTTTTCAGACCTGGAGGCTATATCTGTCATGGTCCTGAGTCTATGACCCAGCATTTTGAGTCTCTGTTAGATTTAAGAGATATTTATGTTTAAGTTTGAGTTTAGTACTTCCTAGTGCCTCTGAGTTTTATTATCTATATTTTTGGTTCTTGGTAACTGTTTGATTTCGTTCATGTCCTCGTGTTGTTTCTGTGTCTTGCTGTCTGGGTCTCCAGTGCCAGTCAGTCTTGTCTCCATGTTTGTTTACCTTTTTGTCTACATTCAGCTCGTATGTCTCAGTCCTGAGCTGTGTCCCAATTCAGGGTCTGCACGCTTGAAGTACGCGCACTACGCGCACTACGTACGGTGCGTACTATAAGTACAAGAAGTGCGGAAGTGAGAGGCTTGTGAAATGGGAC